TCTGACATCTTTAGAAATGGTTCTTAAGAAGATGATCGCTGGTGTAGCAGCATTCGAAGCTCCCAGGCGTGTTTTGCGATGGAATTTCATTAATGTGAGCAGTTTCTGAGCTCTGGGCACAGTACTGCACTTAAAATTTTAGAAAACTGCCACTGATGGAAGTAAAGAGGACCTTTTTCTGAAGACTAGAGAAGGGACCCTCATAAGAATATTAAGGGGGCGGGCAGTGGAATTTTTTTTTTTTTTTTGCAGTCTTACAATGAGAACTAGACAATGTGAAAAATGAACATAAGATTTTAGCTGCAGTTCATTCATTTTCAGCTTTGTATTGTTATAAAAGAGTGCACCTAGACACTCCATTGTGGCACCCATAACCTAGGTTTAAGGTGCTGTTTAGCTCCTAGCTTTCATATCTCAGTTTTTAACATTGTGGTGTACTCACCTTGGGAAGATGGTAGTGTTCATGAAATCTTATTTTGATACTGTGTTTGGTTTCAGGACTTGTCGGAAAAACTCAGTGAACAAGAAATGCAGTATAAACGCCTTACTCAGGAACAGCTTGACAATTTCACTCTGGACATCAACACAGCCTATGCCAGGCTGAGGGGAATTGAGCAGGCCGTTGAAAGTGAGTATGGGAAATCTGACAGGAGTGTGCTGTCTGGCTAATTTCATTTTCTGATTGAGTAACCCTGATCTAGGGACACGGGTGGCGGTGTGGGTTAAACCACAGAGCCTAGGACTTGCCGATCAGAAGGTCGGCGGTTTGAATCCCCAAGACGGGGTGAGCTCCCGTTGCTCGGTCCCTGCTCCTGCCAACCTAGCAGTTCGAAAGCACATCAAAGTGCAAGTAGATAAATAGGTACCACTCCGGCGGGAAGGTAAACGGCATTTCTGTGTGCTGCTCTGGTTCGCCAGAAGCGGCTTAGTCATGCTGGCCACATGACCCGGAAGCTGTATGCCGGCTCCCTCAGCCAATTAAGCGAGATGAGCACCGCAACCCCAGAGTCTGCCACAACTGGACCTAATGGTCAGGGGTCCCTTTACCCTTTACCTTTAACCCTGATCTATCATACTAGCTGCAAGCATGCCAATACGCCCTGGAACCTGGTGTGGTTGGTTGGAATGGTGAGAGGCAGTCCCTGCAGCTGATCCCTTTGTTGTGCACGAAGAGGCAGATGCTACCGCTTGCACTGATTGTGGGAACAAATGGTGATCTCCCTCTTCTTCATGTGCTCCTCTCTGCTCCTGATGGTATTCAACTACAGTGGTACCTCGGGTTAAGAACTTAATTCATTCTGGAGGTCCGTTCTTAACCTGAAACTGTTCTTAACCTGAGGTACCATTTTAGCTAATGGGGTCTCCCACTGCTGCCGCGCTATTTTATCCTGAAGCAAAGTTCTTAACCCAAGGTACTATTTCTGGGTTAGCGGAGTCTATAACCAGAAGCGTCTGTAACCTGAAGCGTCCGTAACCTGAGGTACCACTGTATGTTTTACTGAATACACCACTGCCCTTAATGGACCTAACTTATTAATTTCAGAGGGTCTGCTCCACACCAAAATTCTGGCATGACCCTTTGTGAATCGGGAGCGGACTGAAGGACTTTGCAATGACGTGATACACCCAAGCTGAAAATGCTAGACCCGGATAACTCTGGTTCTCCTTCATTGTATGTGATGTATTTAGGGGAGGCCTCTAGAGTTCATTTCCAGCCACTAAAGAGAGAGTTGCCAGACCAAATCAGCAGAGGCTCAGGCACACTTTCCCCCTCTTTTCTGACAGAATGTAGCGGGAAGGTGCTTCCCTTCTGTAGATAACATGCATAGGTCAACTTGGAAAGGCCAGATTTCAGTAGATGCTTTGCTTGCTCCTGCAGGCTGCCAGATGACCAGTCTGCAACAGCAGGATTTGCCAACCTGGTTCCCCCAGGCTTTGGACTAGAACTCCCATCAGCCACAGACAGGTTGGCGGAGCCCGCTGTACATAAACAGCTTTAAGCAAACTAAGGCCCACCTTAGTTTGAGAGCTGGTGCAGCGCATGGGATACGAAATTTGAGTTGTGATGTCACTGGCTCAGGTGTATCCAGTTGCAAGCCATCAATCTGTCTGAGCCATGCACTGAAGTACAGTGGTATACCTCGGGTTACATACACTTCAGGTTACAGACTCCACTAACCCAGAAATAGTGCTTCAGGTTAAGAACTTTGCTTCAGGATGAGAACAGAAATGGTGCTCCGGCGGTGTGGCAGCAGCGGGAGGCCCCATTAGCTAAAGTGGTGCTTCAGGTTAAGAACGGACCTCCGGAATGAATTAAGTACTTAACCAGAGATATCACTGTACTAATCTTGCCCTATGAAGTTACTTCTGTTGGGGTTCTTGAGCTAATGTATGGGCCACTTAATCACTGTTTAAAAGTGGACTTGCTGTTAAGCCACTGTGGGATTTTTTGTTACAGGCCATGCTGTTGCCGAGGAGGAAGCCAGGAAGGCCCATCAGCTGTGGCTTTCAGTTGAAGCTCTGAAGCAAAGCATGAAAACTGCTTCTGGAGACAGCCCCACCGAGCCCCTGGAGAGTGCAGTAGAAGCCATCCAGGCCAGCTGTTCTGACAACACGTTCACCCAGGCCTTAACAGCTGCGCTTCCGCGGGAATCGCTCAGTCGAGGAGTGTACACAGAAGAGGCGCTAAGGGCACGCTTCCACACTGTCCAAAAGCTGGCGAAGAGGGTAGCCTTGATAGACGAAACGAGAAACAGCTTGTATCAATACTTCCTCTCTTACCTGCAATCCCTTCTCCTCATGCACCCTCAGCAGCTGAAGCCGCCTTCTGAGCTAGGCCCCGAAGACCTGGACACATTTAAGTTGCTCTCTTACGCATCCTATTGCATCGAACATGGAGACCTGGAGCTGGCAGCTAAGTTTGTCAATCAGTTGAAAGGGGAATCCAGGAGAGTGGCTCAGGACTGGCTGAATGAAGCTCGGATGACGCTAGAGGCAAAACAAGTGGTGGATATCCTGACTGCCTATGCCACTGCTGTGGGTTTAGGAACAACTCAGGTGGACTGATGCAGATGAGCTATGCAAGGCTACTGTGTCTTCAGAACCACACAAATGCAAGATTCGTTAACAGTGCCGGGGAGGAAACCAAAGGTTTAGATCTAGGAGGTTTGGAAACCGTACCAGAGTTGTGATGTCCAACGTTGTCTCTAGTTTTCTTCTCACTTCGCACCGGTTGCATTTGTATCTCCCCTCCCCCCTCAGCCATTTATCATGTCTGGAATGTTTTTGGTTTTTTTGCAACTTGCATAACAAAATTTTAAGTTTCCAGGTAACTGATCAGGCTTGTGAGCCAACCAAAATAATGTTTATAACCTCTATTACTGATTCACCCACTTGGTGCACTTAAATAAATGGTGTTAAACCCACCACCTTGCTTTTCCTCCCCCCATTTCTGCTTAGATAAGTAATATCCTGAAGGAAAATAGTTGCTCTTAGGATGTTTACTGGGTTGGTCTACTCCTTATAACTCTCATAAGGTGTAGTTACAGATAGGTAGCCGTGTTGGTCTGCCATAGTCAAAACAAAAAAAATTCCTTCCAGTAGCACCTTAAAGACCAACTAAGTTAGTTCTTGGTATGAGCTTTCGTGTGCATGCACACTTCTTCAGATACACTGAAACAGGTGGACTGTGATAACAAGACTGTGAATTCTGAGTGCAGGAAATGTCGACATCTGGACAAAGTACTGTGAATAGATACTCTGAAGTGTGTAGTCAATCCTGGCTGAAAGCTAAAGGACTGGCTGATTAAGATTCCTGAGGTCAGCAACTTTTTATTTCTTTTCTACCTAATGTAAATATTGCTCTTGGATAACTTGTCAGATACATCTTTTAAGGGTAGTATGCCAGGGCATGGTGCAAATGATGCTCTTGAGCACCTCCCCGATAAGGAAAGGTTACATGAGAGGCTTTTTTTTGTTTAAACAGGCATGATAGAGGTTATACAGGGTGTAGAAAAAATACAGTTGACTAGGAACTATGCGTATAACCAAAATCATATATAGTCAATGCAACCCTGGAACTGCCCCCATGTGAGCATCTCTACATTTTTGAAGCTGATGCACTGAGCAGACCTCGCCCCCCAATATCTTGCTTACTGGGCGCTGGGAGACTCCTGTGAGATCCCAGTGCGGAAAGTGCTTTTGCACCTTGCAAGTGTTTACTTTGTGCGATTTCAGCGATTGCCACCAAGCTTGTAAAGATCATGCAAGTTAAATACACATAAGTTGCAAGTCGACTAGTTTATTTTTACTCCACCCTCTTCATCTTACGAAGCTGAACGGTGGGAAATTGAGAACACATGTACTATTTCACACAGCACATAAGTTATCAAATTAGACAGATTCATTAAGGATAAGGATATTAATGGCTATGCACTACCTCCTTTAGCAGAGACCACATGCCTCTGAAATCCAGCTCTTGGAACACACAAGCAGGGAGGTGCTCCTTGCCTTGTTTGTGATTTTTCATAACCAACAGACTGGCCACTGAGAAATTGGGACTAGATTTGGTCAGATGCGGCACAATTCTTCAGCATGGCCCAGGAGCTATCCCCTTCCCAACAATGGCCAGGGCCTGCAGGGAGATGCTTCATGAATTGAACATTAGAACATAGGGGCTGGAAAAATACCGAGGGACACCCCCCAAAAAAAAAGGGACAGAGAAAGAACAAGGGGGAAGTACTAGAATAAAAGTAGTGGAAAAGGCAAGGAAAATAGGAAATTAAAACCAGAGCACAAGTCAGATCGAAGACAGCAACATTCACATCTCCTTTAGGCAGGTGACTGAAGCAGCAGGAGGAAGCCTATACAGATTTCCAAGACATGTCCCCACCTTGAGGAAACTGGAGCACAAAACCCTGGATGTCTCATACACCAGAATCCCCACCAGGTACATATTGCCGCACATTCTGTCAAGATCATAATCATAAATAGGAAGCAAGAAAACTGTATTACGCTTTATTTTTAACCATTTTTGTAGAGGCAATGGAATTACTGTCTTTTTGGTCTGCTCCTCTGTTGCAGGTAGGAAATTCTAGCTTTCCAGAGTAAGGTGACATGCAAAGGGGTCAAGTCTCTCCGACACAGGACATGCCTGAGTACAGATGCCCAGTATGGATTAGTCAGCAATCAGGACAGTGAATGTAAAACTAGCAACCAGGCAAAGTCCAGTATAGCCATTTTGACTGCCACATGCCAGATCAGAGGCATCCCTTTTTTCAGGAAAGAGAAAGGGGTTCCTTCCCGGTATCTATTCACCATCACTGTTGTCACTGCTTTCTGCTGTCATATCAGCCAGAACTTTCCTGTAAGGAAAAAAGTACAGAGCTCAGAGATAAAATTTTTAAGTGGGTATTATAAAGCCCCATCAAATTACTGGCACAACCCTCCTGTTTCTGGCAGAGCAGTGTCTGATTAAAAATGGTTAGAGGCAGGAGCAATATAAGAGGCAGTTGGGAGTGAAGACTGGACATTGCTTTGAACTCAAAAGTGTTCATCCACAGTTTACCCACTTCCCGAAGCTCACCTTTGCTCTTCAGAGAGCTGAAATTCTTCCAGAGCTCTCCTGGCAAGCTTTGAAGTTGATTGTAAGCTGAAGTCTGCAGCAAACTTTACCAGGTCAAGGGCCTGACTTGGCTCTTTGCTTTGCTTAATGCAATTCAAGACTTCATCCATCACCAAATCACTGCATGAGAGAGAGAGAGAAAAAGAAGCATGGATGCTCCGATGGTATTCATGGTAAGGCTGCATTTAACACGCTATTTTATTCCCAGAACTACAATCTTAAGTGGGGGTGGGGGCAGGGGGAAATAAAAATTTCACAATTGTTTCTGACCCAGGGACTTCAGCCAAGTTTTTTTCATTTATTTCTTGACATATTTATATGCAAGTACCATTTGCTACCAGTACCAAATGCACCCCTTTGCTCCTTATGCAAGCAGAGGTTTGGTCTATCCAACCAAACAAAATACCTTCCTTTCTTAAGAAGCTCTGTATGAAAGCTGGGACAAAGATTATACAGCAAATCTGCTGGCAGGAACTCCCAGCTTGAGCTACACTACTCTTGCATGCAAAGCTCGCTCATACAGTGCTAAGACATTCTTGCTTCAGCGCTCAGATGTTTTGGTCTATACTATTGGCTGGAGCTAATGGGAGCTGGTAGTCCAGAACGACTTGAAGGCACCAGATATTAGAGAAAGCCAAGATCAAGGCTACAAAAACCCTAGGCATGAGGAAGTGGTTGTGGTTAGAAGAGCAGCAACAGTACATAATGGAATTTAGCTCTTTGTGCAGAAGGTGTTGGGACAGGAGTCTACTCTAGCTTTCACTGCAGTCTACTCCAGCTTTCACTCCCCTATGTACAGGGATTCTTATATTCTTTTACAGTTAAGTACTGGAAAGGAGAGCTCACCAAACATGCACTGTTTCAGATCCAAATATGTCTCTGCAAAGCACTCAAGATGCAGAAGTCTCTGCCTATCAGGTTTCAAGGTATTTAGGGGCAGATGCTAATCAAGGTGCAACATACAATTCTTCATACTCTTAAGTAGACATGTCAATTGCTGTTTTCACTTTCAGTTTGCACCACAAGCATACCAGGCAGTCAACGTAACACAAGCAACGTGTAAAGAAATACAGAATTTTTTTGATGCAGCAGCTGCAAACACCTCATTATAGTATGCTTGTGAACATAACCCAAGTTAGGAAAGCCCTTGATGGTGGGGTTTGTCCTCCACATGTGGCGGAGCCCAGCAGAAAGCACCATTTGGAGTTGCGGAAAGAGTTAACTAAGGGGGGAAAGGGCTGGGGGTTTTTAGGTCTTTTTGTGGGGCATAAATAATGAAAGGGAAGAACAGGAACAGATTTAAAGTATCCCCTCTTTTATATGGTAAACAACAGTAGCATTTGGGCTTTTAGGCAGTAGATGAACTTACCTGGGGATTCGATTGTGTTTCTTAAACAGCTCCAGCATGTTCCTATTTGGAGAGAAAAGTTCTGAATTGCACTGATTTTTTTAAAAGTTCTGTTCTTAATTAAGGAGGGGATATGAACTGTTTCAGTCCTTAGATCAGACCTAACCCATTTCTCATCAACCCCTACTGCAAAAAATGCATTCGGTCAAAAAGGAACTATGCCTGTTCTGAACCTAATGCCCTTTTCTTGAATTTAGCACTCAAGTCAAAAGAATGCAAAAGTCATGCTACTAAAGTAAAACATGATGCACTGAAGGTCCCTTCAATGTATGCAACATCCTTTTAAGTACTGAATCACATGGGTGGCCATGGCTTTCCCAAAATGGCCTAATATGTGTAAATAAACCATATGTCATAAAGACACTGCAGTCCCCGCTGTGCCTAATTGTTCCAAAGGAAACACAAGCGCCTCAAACTCCCTGGTATCTTTTCACCGCTCTGCAGATTTTGGGAGGTGGCAAAATCCAAGTTACCCAAGTTACAGACAAATTCTCAAGCTTGCAAAACTGCTACATTAGTCATATATTTCTAAACCAAAACAAAAAGCATTTAAACTACCTGTGACATACTTCCTGATTAATTTTTGTAGGGAAAATCAAGGCAGTTAACACATGTCACTGGAGTTAAATATTAACTGAAACCTGAAATATGATACAAATAAGCTTACAAATGTTACATTGGTCACCAATGAATTACCCTTGCTTTACTTACCAGGCTTCCTGCATTTGCCCAGCCCTGGCAAACAATATAGTACAATTACCCAGTGAAGTGGCTGTCCATTCTAGGGTTGTTTGTCTCCTTTCCTGTGCCTCACAGAAAGATTTTATATCTGCAGCACAGTCAGCAAATGCTACTCGAGTCTGAAAAACATTAGACAAACCAAAATGTTTAAGCTCACAAAGGCAGAGGAAGCTATGCAAGCATCTTTTTATACTGTAGCTTTTAGAAGGCGACTCATCCAAGTAAATTCACTTTTTACCTAATGAATAAGTAGGGGGAAAGTTCCAAAGGTACTGGGAATACTGCAGAAAACATCTTCCCATTAAGCTTTTAGCAATAGTGACTTGCGGAGAGAAGCTACTGAAATATACCAATGGTATATTGGAATATAACCAGAGTTGCCTTTCTCCCAGACTCTGGTAAAAACCCACCTTTTTTGCTGGGCTTTTAGTAGCTGATTGGCTGAGTAACTTCACCGTTTTTTACTCAAGCTGCTTACGCAATTTATGAGAACTGTTTTAATGCTTTTATTTTGTAGTATGTTTCAATACAGTGGTACCTCGGGTTACATACGCTTCAGGTTGCAGACTCCGCTAACCCAGAAATAGTACCTTGGGTTAAGAACTTTGCTTCAGGATGAGAACAGAAATTGTGCTCCGGTGGCAGCAGGAGGCCCCATTAGCTAAAGTGGTGCTTCAGGTTAAGAACAGTTTCAGGTTAAGAATGGACCTCCGGAATGAATTATGTACTTAACCTGAGGTACCACTGTATTACAATATGCTATTGTAAATTACGCTGTGACTATTGTTGGTCCAGATGAACCAACTCTCCACACCGCAAGAGTCTCACCTAGACTCACCTCTGGGGGCTGCTTATCTCTGGCCATGAGGGCCAGAACCTCTTCTGTCATAGCAGGTCTGCGGCCATGTCCAAGCTGCTTGATATCTGCAGGGGTAGGGTAAAAGGCAATCAGAAATGAAGCCACAAAAAGCGGCTTCCTGCCCATCCATCCCAGTGGTTTTGCTGTAGGCCACATTTAAAAACTCCTATTATTCTAGCAGTATTTGCATCCTGCTCTAATAACAGAGAACAGATGAACTTTAGCACTAAGCTAATGGGAAATTTTGAAGGTAAAGGTAAAGGGACCTCTGACCATTAGGTCCAGTCGTGACAGACTCTGGGGTTGCAGCACTCATCTCGCTTTACTGGCCAAGGGAGCCGGCGTACAGCTTCCGGGTCATGTGGCCAGCATGACTAAGCCACTTCTGGCGAACCAGAGAAGCGCATGGAAAAGCTGTTTACCTTCCCGCCGGAGCGGTCCCTATTTATCTACTTGCACTTTGACGTGCTTTCGAACTGCTAGGTTGGCAGGAGCAGGGACCGAGCAACGGGAGCTCACCCCGTCTTGGGGATTCGAACCGCCAACCTTCTGATCGGCAAGCCCTAGGCTCTGTGGTTTAACCCACAGCGCCACGCGCGTCCCATAATGGGAAATTTTGAAACTACCACCCAACTCATCTGAAAGTGCAGCAGCATCTGGGAGCAGGGATTTTTCTTTTCTTTTACATTACTATGCACAGTGTGGATAGAAATGTAGAAGTAATCCCTTTCATTGCAAAAAATGTGATTGGAATTATCTTAAGGAGAAGCAAAGGGGATAACTTCCCCTCATCATGCTGGTGACCCCAAACAGTGGCTCTCATCAGATCAGATCTTCAAAGTTTGGTGACTCTAGAAAAGTTAAAACCAACTAATGTGTATTGAAATAAATAGAACACAAAAAAGTATTAACCTTTCCAAATCTGGGGAATCATTTCCAAATGGTTCGCTGTGTCCAATGCATAAAGAAGATCCAGCATCCCTTGAGAGTTTGGGTAAAACATCTGATGAAACAAGCAAAATATTTTGGTCCACTGCAGTTTCAACATAAAAAAAAAAAAAGCTGTAAAGTCAACACACTAATACTTACTGATGGGACCATTTCTTTATACCACTTCATTACAACGTCAAGCTGTTCCATCATGCACAACAAGGTAAAAAACCTTCCACTGTAGCAAGAGGAGAAAAATAAGATAAGCAAAACCCCAGCACAACTTGAGATTTCAAAAGCTTATAATACAGGATATGTAACAACCTCAACACTTAATATTAAGCTTACGTGGTTTGCCTATCCAAGTTAAAACGGGCAGCTCATATAATCTGAACTATTCAACTGGCTTGGTGGAACCAGGACGGCTTGATTTACCTTCTAGAAACTGGCAAATCAAGTCAGTTGTGATCAGGAGAGTGTTCCATGAGAAAGGGGGTTCAAAAGGCAACACTTTTCAACATTTCTTCTTCCCTGTTACAATTTCACTCTCTCAAAACAGAAGAGACTCAAAGTATGGCCTCTCCCATACATCTTAGGAGATGTAAAAGGTAAAGGGACCCCTGACCATTAGGTCCAGTCGTGACCGACTCTGGGGTTGTGGCGCTCATCTCGCTTTATTGGCTGAGGGAGCCGGCGTACAGCTTCCGGGTCATGTGGCCAGCATGACTAAGCCGCTTCTGGCGAACCAGAGCAGTGCACGGAAACACCGTTTACCTTCCCGCTGGAGCAGTACCTATTTATCTACTTGCACTTTTATGTGCTTTCGAACTGCTAGGTTGGCAGGAGCTGGGACCGAGCAACGGGAGCTCACACCGTCGCGGGGATTCGAACCACTGATCTTCTGATCGGCAAGTCCTAGGCTCTGTGGTTTAACCCACAGCGCCACCCGCGTCCCTCTCTTAGGAGATGAACTGGTTCCTATTATGTCCCCCAACGTATTATGCCCACATAAAATGCTTTCATTGCAAAAGCAAACATCTTCAACTGAGCCTAGAAGTACAATTGCATCCAAACTGACAGCACATATTCTCATCTTCCTGCTCCTGTAACCCCAGGGAGCACCAAACAATAAATACCAGTAAGTAGTCTGCTGGCCAATGTCTCCCAACATTTTCCTGTTCTCTGCTGTCTCCAGCATGTTATGTAGCTCATAGGCGAGCTGAATATCCTTGAGGTCGAGGCACTGCAATCAAGACACATAGCATGAGCACTCATATTAAAGACATGCAGCACCCTGCCACACAGTGCACCACACAAAAGCTCCCTGCACTTTCATCAGCAAGCAGAGATGGGTATTCCCAAAGCAAAGTTTTGCAAATGATCATGAAACGGCAAGACGTAACAGCCTCCCCAAGCTGCTAGGGTAAGAAAGAAGATTCAGATGAGCTACAAGGAGCTATCTTTTTATTTCTTTGGATCAGCAGGGCACCAATAGTCTAACAGGAATTTGGGGGGTATATTACCATCCATTTCCCAATCATAACGTCGTACATCAAAGGTGGAGGAACACATATATATTTATATTTGGTTCCCAAGTGCCCTGCAGTTAAGGGTAAATGATTGTGTTTGAAAAGCAATTGTGCTCCCACATCAAATGTGGAACATCAAAATATTTGCCAATTGTAAACTATATGCTGATCTCCGCCAGCAATTTCTAGATCAACTCTATATCTCCAAATGGAAACCAGAGTCAGAGGTCATACAATTTCTATTGCTGGGGAATGATCAGGAGCTCACCAAGTTAGTGGCTAAATATCTCTATTTGGTTTTTTGTCTTCGAAATACACTGCAGACGTCTGATCTCCCCGGAGACCAAGAGATGTGATGATAGACTCTGTCTCCTTTCTTTTAGCAAATGTTTTGTCCCACTGGGGAAGTGGTAATTCTGTACTGATTTGTTTTGTTTTGGATGTTGTAAAAGGTAAAGGTAAAGGGACCCCTGACCATTAGCTCCAGTCGTGGCCGACTCTGGGGTTACGGTGCTCATCTCGCTTTACTGGCCGAGGGAGCCGGCGTACAGCTTCCGGGTCATGTGGCCAGCATGACTAAGCCACTTCTGGCGAACCAGAGCAGCACACGGAAACGCCGTTTACCTTCCCGCCGGAGTGGTTCCTATTTATCTACTTGCACTTTGACGTGCTTTTGAACTGCTAGGTTGGCAGGAACAGGGATCGAGCAACGGGAGCTCACCCCGTCGTGGGGATTCGAACAGCCGACCTTCTGATCAGCAAGTCCTAGGTTCTGTGGTTTAACCCACAGCGCCACCCGCGTCCCTTTTGGATGTTGTATGTGATGCCAATAAAAGGTTTTATGAATACGAGTAAAATATGAAACCTGCTTTAGGTCAGTTTGATCCCAATTCCCACCATCCCCGTATAATCAAACTCTGCTACAACACTCCTCCATCCAATGTTTGGAAGCTGAATCTGCTCCATGTCCATTTAGGTTATTTGTTCCAATACGGTAAGTTAAAGAGCATGATGGAGCATCACAAGGAATAATGGTTTGTAAAATCAAACCAAAAACTTGAAGGAATAGAAAGAGGTATATGTGGAAGAATTGTGCAGCTGTGGATAAAGGGGAATCTGAGTAGAGATTTAGAGGTTTTGTTTTTTTACTATAAAATATTCAAGGGAATTCACAGGTAGATAGAAAGCCATTATAATAGACAACTAAGTGTTAGAAAGCAGGAATCAAATCCACTTACTATTTTCATGGCACTTGGAAAAAAGTTGCCTAAAAAGAAGAAATAGCAAACAATGTTAATCTTTAACATCTAGCAGTGCAGAAGATTAGCACATCTGTCACGCTTCCTAGCATTACTGAAATAAATTTGAACAGCTAAACAAACCGCTGTCTAAACCAACAGAAGTCTGGTAAAACTGTTCTTTAAGCCAAGGTAATATCTAAGATCATATCTACATGGCAAACATACAAGCTTTATACTATTTTACGGCTTTGACTACAGAATACTGTCCATCGTAGCTTGGCCAAGTGATGAGAATTCAGTGTAAAAGGATCCTAATCCTTGCTCTCAACTATTACTCCCAGGTTTTCCTGGGAGGAGACAACTTAAAACTAATTTGATCATAGCGTAGACACCCCCCGCCACCATGAGATATATGACAACCTGTTAACACTTAACAGAATAACAAAGGCACAGTACATATGCAACTGCTACCCACCATGATGGCACTTTCAAAATGAGCAGCCTTCAACTAAGCTGGGTGAGATACGGTCAGGGAGCCAAGCCAGCAATAGATCACATGGGGTACGTGAAGTTGACTCTTCATTAGGAGAAACAAGGCCTGCTTAGGGGAGCCAGGCCTAATGAGCACAGCAACACTTCTTGGTAGGTCTTGCCCCTTTGGGGCAGTTGTAGAGTCTAAAGATCCCTGCATTCCCACAGCTGTCCAAGTCTCCTTCTCTCCCAGGTCCTTTGAAAGAAACCTGAGACTACACCGCCTGTTCCTGCTCCTCCCTCTTCTTACCTCTTCTGGTCCTGGGAGACTGGGGGGAGGGGAGCTTGTCAAAGTAGAAGGGGAAGACCCTGGCTTCTTCACTGGCCCGGCTCATCTGCCTCTTAGCCTCCCTCCTTTCCTGCTTCAGCTTCTGAACTGCTCTCTGCCACAGACTCTCCCCGCTCACTAAACCCTGTTACCCCTTCAGCTTCCATACCTCTTCTTCCCAGTTTTCTCCCCCTGACCACTCACTGTCATCCCACCGCCACTTCCCAGGCTCTGAGCCTTCTTCCCTTGGGGGTTCCCCAGCTGGGGCCACCCACAATTCTTCTGGGTCCAGCCAGTCCAGGACAGATACTATGCAGAGTAAAGCAGGCAAAATGACCCAGATGAGGGCACCACAAGCCCACCAAAAAATCACTGCATGTTTTTGTTGTTGTTGTTTAGTTGTTTAGTCGTGTCCGACTCTTCGTGACCCCCTGGACCAGAGCACACCAGGCACTCCTGTCTTCCACTTCCTCCCGCAGTTTGGTCAAACTCATGCTGGTAGCTTCGAGAACACTGTCCAACCATCTCGTCCTCTATCGTCCCCTTCTCCTTGTGCCCTCCATCTTTCCCAACATCAGGGTATTTTGCCAGGGAGTCTTCTCTTCTCATGAGGTGGCCAAAGTACTGGAGCCTCAGCTTCAGGATCTGTCCTTCCAGTGAGCACTCAGGGCTGATTTCCTTCAGAATTGAGAGGTTTGATCTTCTTGCAGTCCATGGGACTCTCAAGAGTCTCCTCCAGCACCATAATTCAAAAGCATCAATTCTTCGGCAATCAGCCTTCTTTATGGTCCAGCTCTCACTTCCATACATCACTACAGGGAAAGCCACAGCTTTAACTATACGGACCTTTGTTGGCAAGGTGATGTCTCTGCTTTTTAAGATGCTGCCTAGGTTTGTCATTGCTTTTCTCCCAAGAAGCAGGCGTCTTTTAATTTCGTGACTGCTGTCACCATCTGAGGTGATCATGGAGCCCAATAATTATTGTGGTGTGTGTGTGTGTGCGTGGACTAGACTGCTATTTTTATAGACCCACAACAAATTGTGAAGAACACAGACCTAATATTTTATTTTGCACGGAAAACCAATCATTAGCCCACCACTCACACAAAGTTTTAAAGGCAATTCTTTTTCCATTCATGTAAGTCCCACATAACGCAAGATCACCACAGAATATAGGAGGGAATTCATACCATCGTCTGGGTCCTGTGGGTAAAAACGCTTTCCCTTAATCTCATCCATTACTTCATAGATCATTTCTGTTTCGCCTCGAGAAGATGCCGCTGTAGAATAACAAGACACGCCATGGCGCCATTAAGAACACACATTCAGTAGGCAGATTCTACAATACGTAATCCGTATTTGGAGCTGAGGACTGCTGAACAGCTGGCCAAGAAGGAAATACTATACTTTGAGAATGCCAAATGAAAATGTGACTGCCGTAGCAACCAGTCATTCCACCTCACAAGGTTTTGGGACAATCAAATGCCAAGAAGGCCCTAAGAGCTACCAAAGTGCCTAGCAATCTCCTGTTAATAAGAGGGGCCGAATTATCAACAGCTTTCCCACTGCACCCTAGTAACGCATATAATAGTTTTATACCTTAATTAACAGTATTGGCCAAATCCTCTAGAGAAACTAGTCTTCAGGAAGACTCACAATTTCTCCAATAAGTGGTAGAAACACCATACATTTTGGATGCAATTTTTTTTAAAAAAAAATTAGCCTTGCAGCAGGGCAGCATCACTCAGATGCCTTTTCGGTCAAACAGATCTATGCTGTAGCTTAGGAAGAAGGGTCAGAATGCAGGAGTCATGTGGGGGACGTTTCCTGTGTTTAGTGCAAAGCCAGAAGGAGCTTCCAGTGCAGCACCTTGGAGGGCTGCGGTTCAAACGTCAAAAGACTACAGAAACAAATTGACTAGATATTGTTCTAACTTAGGAATCACATACCTGGTTTATAAAAGATGCCAAGAAGATGGTCAAAGGTTGCAAGGCTAGGCTCTAAAAACAAACAGAGAGGCATATACTGAACCAGCCAATTCTGACGATGTGGCCAAGATACAAAAATCCATTAATTCATATTCTGCTCACTTGAGTACCCCCTAACAGAAACTGAAACTGCTCCCAGAATTCCAGTTTTGTGGAGCAGGTAGTGTGTGTGTGTGGGGGAGGGACTACATGAATTGCGTATATGCAGTCCGTACATCAGGGGTCACCAACCTATGGCTCAGGAGCCACATAAGGCCTGAGCGACTTGTTTATCCGGCCTGTGGCGACCCCTGCTGCTGCCCGCCCTTACCGGTGTGGTGCGGTGACCCACTTCTGGGTTAGAGGAGCACTGGAAATAGCTTATGCACAGGCCTCCTCTGACCTGGAAGTGCATCGGAAATAGCTTGTGTGCACACATACGAGCGCACGCTCCCCAGCCCTCTACATGATCGTTGCTCGAGACACCGGCCCGAGGCAAGGAAAGCTTGGAGACCCGTGCCCTACATATTCAGCACTTGAGAAGCTTTGTTGGGACAATCTTAACAGACAGCTGAGAACCTACCTATATTTAGTGCCTTCATCTCATTTAGTGTGCGAAGGGCCATACTCTTGCCAAAGGCACCACACCACCGTAGAGTCTTCAGGACAGAATTAAAAGTGAGCAGATTTGGCTGTATCTTCTGTTGAGCCATTTGGTTCAGCAAGTCCTATTAACCAAGATGAAACAAAGCAAGCACTGGACTGAAGCTTTTATGAAGATGCAGGGATTTCTCTTCCCTGCCACCCGCACACACACAAACCAAGAGTTGAAATTTAGGCCTTGAGTCCCACAACCACCCTGAATATTGCCTAATAACAAAAGGGCGGGATATAAATTCACCTAAATAAGTATTTGGCATGGTAAAGATACATTAAAAGCTCCTGAATTAGTTATTTCTTCTTACTTCAACAAGTTCCCATCTTTCAGTGTACTTTTCCCGTACTTCTGAAGCTGCGACGATTAACGCATTGAAGGTGTGCACATCAGCTGGAAGAAATGAAAAGTTGTGTTTCAAGCAACTGTACTGAACAAAATGTGCTTTCTTGGCATTTGGCTTTACACCCCACCCCCCGATTATTTGTAAGGCAGCTCAGTGTAAGGCGAAATTCTCTTGCAAGCCCGTTTCCAGGAAGCCAGCCACATGCCAGCGAAGCTGGAACGCAGATAGCTCACAATCAGCTCCCATGATCTAGCTGAGGTCCGTACCCCTGCGCCAATCATCATTGCTGCAAACGGAAACCCAGTGTGTCAGAAAGGCAGGCGTCCATCCAAGCACCGCCCAAAGGGAGAAAAATGTATGTGCGTGAAATGTGGCCATATATTTCGGGTAACATGCCACGACACACAGGGGGAAGGGAATGAGAAGGAATGTCCCACTCATAATTAAAAAAATAAAAAAATATTTGTACCCCGCCCTCCCCGGTCAGAGCCAGGCTCAGGGCGGCTAACATCATAAAACTAACACAGTATACAAAGAACATAAAAACAGGCAATCAATTAATTAAAATACATCTTAAAATTAGTTCAGAGTAAATTAAAATCTGGACAGATGGCAGTCCATGGGTAAAATTGAGAGTGGTTAATATTCTCCAGGGCCAGCTGTTACCACTGGTCTTATAAAGAAAGGACCTGTGAGTGGGCCAGGAGGCCTCTTTAATGCTTGTTCTTATACAGAAATAAAAGAATCAGACTGAACCCCGACCAAAGGCCTGGCGGAACAGCTCCGTCTTGCAGGCCCTGCGGAAAGATGTCAAATCCCGCAGGGCCCTGGTCTCTTGTGGGAGAACGTTCCACCAGGCCAGGGCCACGGCCGAAAAGCCCCTGGCTCTGGTCAAGGCCAGTCTAATCTCCCTGGGGCCTGGGATCTTCAGGGTGTTATTATTTGCAGACCTTAAGGTCCTCCATGGGGCATACCAAAGCATAGTAAGCTGGACACTGAGGTCCAGCTCTGAGGGCCTTCTGGCGGTTCCCTTCCTGCGAGAAGTGAAGATACAGGGAACGAGACAGAGGGCCTTCTTGGTAGTGGCGCCTGCCCTGTGGAGCACCCTCCTGTCAGATGTCAAGGAGATAAACTACTATCTGACTTTTAGAAGACATCTGAAGGCAGCCCTTAGAGAAGTTTTTCATGTTTGATGTTTTATTGTGTTTTTAATATTTGCTGGGAGCTGCCCAGAGTGGCTGGGAAAACTCAGCCAGATGGGCAGGATATAAATAATTTATTATTATTATTATTATTATTATTATTATTATTATTATTATTATTATTATTATTAATATGGGGTCCAGCTGGATCAGAACAAAGGCTATCTTGTTAGGATTTTTAACCACCCGTGCTGCTCCAGCAGCAGTGGCACAACGTTTGCTTATATCATGTGAGTGTCTGAGAGCGTGAGACACGGGTAAGAAAGGTTTCAGCAGGTATGGAAAGTTCTCCTTTTGAGAAACTGTTCCAGAGAAAATCTTCTTACAGGTTTCTGGGTCTCACATATGTGTAGAAACACCCCAAGGTACAAAAGGTGCACAGGGCATTTTCATGTGTTATGAGAAAGGTCAGTACAGATTCTGACGCAGTGATTCTTACTAGGAATGTAGAATGCACTACACGACAGGAGAGAGAGGTTCTCCACAGTTTCCCCATCAATGCCAACACAGATGTAGATTCTGACATTGAGAGTGACACTGAAAGCACCACTGAAAGTTCTAGTACAGATGACACTGTTGGGCATCCAGAAGCCAACTAAATGCCCATTTGTTGTTGTTGTTTAGTCGTTTAGTTGTGTCCAACTCTTCGTGACCCCCTGCACCAGAGCACGCCAGGCACTCCTGTCTTCCACTGCCTCCCACAGTTTGGTCAAACTCATGCTGGTAGCTTCGAGAACACTGTCCAACCATCTCGTCCTCTGTCGTCCCCTTCGCCTTGTGCCCTCCATCTTTCCCAACATCAGGGTCTTTTCCAGGGAGTCTTCTCTTCTCTTGAGGTGGCCAAAGTATTGGAGCCTCAGCTTCACGATCTGTCCTTCCAGTGAGCACTCAGGGCTGATTTCCTTCAGAATGGATTGGTTTGATCTTCTTGCAGTCCATGGGACTCTCAAGAATCTCCTCCAGCACCATAATTCAAAAGCATCAATTCTTCAGCGATCAGCCTTCTTTATGGTCCAGCTTTCATGGACCATAGAAATGCCCATGGAAAGCTCCCAAAAGGCATTCTTCCCACAGGCCATTTTCAGCATGTAGGAAGAATACTGCCTTCTGAAAGTCCATGAATTTGTCCAATCTTCTTTTCATGGAATCATAGAACTGTAGAGTTGGAAGGGACCCAGCCCAGCCCCCTGCAATGCAGGAATCTCAGCTAAAGGATCCTTTTTAAGCCATCCAAGCTGGTGGCTGTCACTACATCTTTTAGGAACAAACTCCATTATGTGAAGTACTTTTGTCTGCCCTGAATCTTCCAGCATTTGGCTTCAGTGGATGGCCCTGGGTTCCAGCATGAGATGGAAAAGCGAGACAGAGAAAACTTCTCTCTGCCTGATTTAAGGTGCTGGTTTTGACCTTTAAAGCCCTTCACGGCCTAGGACCCTCGTACCTACGGGACCGCCTCTCCCGGTATGCCCCATGGAGAGCCTCAAGGTCCATAAATAGCAACACCCTAGAGGTCCCGGGCCCTAAGGAAGTTAGATTAGCCTCAACCAGAGCCAGGGCCTTTTCAACACTGGCTCCGGCCTGGTGGAACGCTCTGCCTCATGAGACCAGGGCCCTGCAGGATCTGATTTCTTTCCGCAGGGCCTGTAAGACAGAGTTGTTCTGCCTGGCCTTTGTCTTGGAGCCAGTTTGATTCCCTCCCCCTCTTTCTTTTTTCTTTTTCCTTTCTCCTCCTGCGATGAGGTTTCAATATTTTAATGTTGTATTTTAATTTTGTTTTTAAGTTGTATTCATTCAATTTGTTTTTATTATTGCCTGTTAGCTGCCCTGAGCCTTGGCTGGGGAGGGCGGGGTATAAATAATAATAATAATAATAATAATAATAATAATAATAATAATAATAATAATAATTATTATTATTATTATTATTATTTCTCCACACCATGCCTTATCTTGCACCACATGTACTACAAAGGCAGGACCGAGCCATTAGGTGTACAGTTTCAACAATGTGATGCGTGGAATATATGTATATTTAAAAATCCTAGAACTTACCCTTAAGCCTGTTATTCAATAAGTCAGTGTACATGTCAAAAGCTTTTGCAGCTGCTCTATGCTGGAAAGATATGGAGGGGAAGGAGTTAAGATTTTTAGAATTAGAATAAACTTAGGAAAACCAATCTATTAATCTGGAGAAATAACAGAAGCAAGTGCGGAATAAATAATGTTACAACTGTACCTTCACCATTCCTCTGATCATTGTACAATACGAATGTGCATTTTTTTCTGGCATTAGGTTAAATATTCTTTCAGCGTTATTGTTCTCCCTGTTAAGTGGAAAACATTACTTGTATCAACGTGATTTATATCAATATACTTTTACACCTTCTCAAAAGCATGCACACTGTGTATTATTATTATTTGGTAAGCGATATCAGTTTTTTATTAAAATCCAAACTTAGTTGGATTGCACCCATTGTTGCGCAACATACAATACGACCTTAAAATCAGGAACTGTAAAGACTATACATTTCAGGCAACATGGGTAAAAATCTGCAAATACATGGCACCAAATCTGCAAATTTAGACACCTTGGCACAGATGGTCAATCAAGTATGAGTATAGACATATTTCTGCTGCTCTACCACGTACCTGAGGACATGAAATGGCTGTCCTGCTGTACACTCAGTACACACATTTTTATGAGTATATGCCAAACAGTCTTTCACAATTCCCCCAGAACAGTATCCTTAACACTCAGCTATCACATCTGCACCTCTAGGGCATTTCAGGAATGTTATACATGTTCTTTTTAAAAGTCTGCTCACGTTTTGGTCACAGTTCGGTGCATCAGAATTGCATCTGATTGCTTGGAAATCAAAAAGACGTTTGCAAAACTTGCCGAATTGTCGCATGAATTTTATAGTTTTTACTTGCTATGGATTATCCAATTTAAATGAAGTTGTATTGTTCCCACGCCATGAGATCTTTGGATAAAGGGAAGACTATCAACATTTTAAATGAATGAAATTGAGAATTTACTCTGAGGATTAAACAGTACACCATGCTTATACTCAGCTACCTACCACTATGTGGTCTGAATATTCCTTGCCCCACAATTAATATTTTTTTAAAAGGGCTAAACAGCATAGAAAACATATTCTGGACTACCTAATAAGAGTACAGATGAAAATATAACAAGGAACTGGTGTCATTTTTCATACCGCCACTTAAGCCCACGGTTCCCATTCTGCCAGTTTCTCCTTTTTTTCCTTTCTTCTGAAGCTTCCTCCTGCAACAAGATTTCCAGGATCAGTCTTACTAGCATGCCAGAATCACCTCTGCAACCAAAAGCTTAGAAAGCATTTTATCTAAGTTAACATGCAGGACTGGCACAAAGAATAATCAGACAGCTAGATATCTTGACAGCAGTTTTAATGTTCCCCCCTCAAGTGAAAGTTGGCAGGAGGTCCTATGGAAACACGTGAAAAGGTGGGCGCTTTCTTCCCTCTCAAGCACTCCATCTCTGAGATTACAGACACATCACAGTAATTTAGAAATACCATGATCTCATTTCTATTTTCTGTAATGTTATATACCGTATTTTTCACTCCATAAGACACACTTTTTTCCTCCTAAAAAGTAAGGGGAAATGTCTGTGCGTCTTATGGAGTGAATGTATGGTGATCGCTGGCTCCCTTTCCGGACCCACCCCCTTGCCCAGGCTTCCATTGTTGAATGTTCTGCAGGTGGAGGCTGTTTGTTTCCCCAGTGACTGGCTGATTGGATTATCTGTCTTTAAGCTGTAGAAATGGCTCCCTTTCCTTTCTTAAAGAAGCTGCAGAACTGTGAGTTGAACCCCATAAAAACTTTGAGCTGATCCTCAAAAAAAGAGGGTTTTCCCCTTTGCAAAAGAAGCTGCACAACTTACTATCTGGGTGAAACAACATCCACCCTCTACCATGCTTGCTTACCAGTTGTTCCAATTTGCTGTTATTTTCAGTAGAGTTCAGCTGATCAGGTTCTCTATCGCCATAAAAACATAGGAGATCAAGAAGGCTGTTTGATGTCTCCAGAGATACTGAAGTTCCTGCAGAGGGGGGAGAAAGTAAAGTGGAAGCCAGGATTCTAGCTTGCTCACATGTGCATTTACATCACTTGGCGCTCAAAGTCTTTGAGCAGAACGTGTGAACTGTCTTTATGGACAAGTATCAATTTTGTGTGTGTGTCAGGCAATATAATGTCCTGTGATGTATGTAACAGCTGCAAATACGATGCAGTTATCAACATATGGACACGTGTGTGAACTATCCTTCAGAGCGTGATTTTGGTAATACTGCTCAATATAAAATCTAAGCAGTTTACATAAGAATAAAAGTACAGCAAGGTTTAAAAATTGCCCTAAATCAGTAATCACTTTTAAATGCCTCTTATGGATCTACCCAAGGTTTCCTGGACTCTTAACTCTTTTTTTTGTCTTATACAGTGCTCAGTTTTATTTGTGACATCCAGTTGTGTTGCGTTTTTATCTCATGTTAAAACTAGCTGATAGGAAATTTTATTGAATATCGTTAAATTTTTACTGTTTATGTAAACCACTTAAGAGATTACAGTGGTACCTTGGGTTACATACGCTTCAGGTTACAGACTTCGCTAACCCAGAAATAGTACCTCGGGTTAAGAACTTTGCTTCAGGATGAGAACAGAAATCGTGCTCTGGCAGCGCGGCGGCAGCAGGAGGCCCCATTAGCTAAAGTGGTGCTTCAGGTTAAGAACAGTTTCAGGTTAAGAACAGACCTCTGGAACGAATTAAGTACTTAACCCGAGGTACCACTTATTATATTAAGCAGTATAATCTTTGTTTATAAAACAGAGAAACATGCATTTCCACCTAATTATCAGGTGGAACTGCATCTCTGCTGCAGAATGAGTCAGAGCTTCCTCCCTGGGCTGTTCAAGCTGACTTTCATAGGTTTCAGCTCTGGTGGCTGATGAAGGAGAAACTGTGAAGGTCTGAACAAGCTGCCTCCCTTCCTCCTCAGTTCTCAGATGGTGTAACAAATGAATTAGCCTTTTTGTCAGACCTAGTGTTTTGGAGAATTTTTAGCAGAAAATAATTCTACACCTCAGTATAGGAAACACCAGCCACATTTCATAACAGCTTCAGCCAGGTGCTCTAAGTAATTTCACAGTGCAGTCCTATGGAGTTCAGTAGGCCCTTCTGCCAAGAAGGGTGTACAGGATTGTAAAAGGTAAAGGTAAAGGTACCCCTGCCCGTACGGGCCAGTCGTGACCGACTCTGGGTTTGCGTGCTCATCTCGCTTAAGAGCCAGCACCAGCGCAGCGCACGGAAACGCCGTTACCTTCCCGCTATAAAGCGGTACCTATTTATCTACTTGCACTTAGGGGTGCTTTCGAACTGCTAGGTGGGCAGGAGCTGGGACCGAACGACGGGAGCTCACCCCGTCGCGGGGATTCGAACCGCCGACCATACGATCGGCAAATCCTATCAGGATTGTAGCTTTAGCTAGTACCTGCTTGCATGAGTTGATCATACGTGTCCACCGAAGCTTTTAGTTTTCTGAAACGGATCTGATACTTAAGTGCATCCTCACCCACTTCTTCAAGTTGCAATGGCAACTGTGAGCTGATCCCCCCAAAAAACGGGGCCTTCCCCCTTTCTTCCTCTAAAAACTAGGTGCGTCTTATGGTCAGGTACATCTTATGGAGCAAAAAATACGATACTATCTGGGTGAAACAACATCCACCCTCTACCATGCTTGCTTACCAGTTGTTCCAATTTGCTGTTATTTGATGTACAGGATTGTAGCTTTAGCTAGTACCTGCTTGCATGAGTTGATCATACATGTCCACCGAAGCTTTTAGTTTTCTGAAACGGATCTGATACTTAAGTGCATCCTCACCCACTTCTTCAAGTTGCAATGGCAATTTTTCTGGCATGAGACACTAAAATAAGGGGGAAAGAAGGCAATTGTTTTCAGATGATCTAAAGAAAAGGGAATTCATCAGTGCTTCCTCTAGTGTCCAATAATCATTTCTTTGGCTCTACAACAAAAGAGCAACAAATCCACTCCACCTTCCACACATACCAGCCCCTTGTCTGTCTTGAAAAAAATGGAGGAATGATTGTGCCCTTTATTGCCTTTTAATTTGCTTTGTTTTCCGTTTAAGTCCAGATTAGCATTTATAGCCAACACAGCAATACAGTGGTACCTCCGATTGCACATGGGATCCGTTCCAGAGCTCTGGTCGGATCCTGAGGAATTCGCAACCAGGGGTTCCTGTTCTGCGCACACATGCAGCGCAGTAGAGAAGAAGAAGAGTTTGGATTTGATATCCGCTTTATCAATACCCTAAGAAGTCTCAAAGCGGCTAACAATCTCCTTTCCCTTCCTCCCTCACAACAAACACTCTGTGAGATGAGTGGGGCTGAGAGACTTCAGAGAAGTGTGACTAGCCCAAGGTCACCCAGCAGCTGCATGTGGAGGAACAGGGACGCAAACCCGGTTCACCAGATTACGAGTCTACCGCATAGAGCGCTTCTGCGCATGCGTGCACAGCGAAACCCAGAAAAATACTTCCAGGTTTGCTGCGTTCGCATCCTGAAGGATATGCAAGCAGAGGTGTGCGTATCCAGAGGTACCGCTGCACTTGATGAGGCAAAGGCCAGGGTGAGGGTGTGCACGATGCTCTCTATTGTACTCATGTCACAACTCATAGAAGGTTTGTCTACGCAGGATGCTTCTACAGCAGATTAAAGTTCAGTTCTGCTGTGTTCAAGACAATGGAATAATTTTACGAAATGCTCAGAGGACAGACGTTTTTCTTAGTAACAAGAATTAATGTGTATGATGATAATAAAACCACAAAGCTTACCGGTACATGAGGTTCAGCTATGTCAATCTCAAAAAGGTTAGGATGTTTGTCAAGAATATATCTGGCTGCATTTTCCCCAGATTCTTTTGATAAGGAAAATAAACGCTAGAAAAAGAACGTATCCATATTATTTTCTTTACTTAAAGTAGAAGTTACCATTCATGATACTGCAGTTTCATAAAACCTACCAAAAGGCCTCTGAATCAAATATTTAGTCCTTTTCCTCTCTCATTCTTACTGCCATCAAGTCAAATTTCCATTTTAAAGCTTTTACCATCACATTTCAATCGTTATATATATTGTTTTGCAGGAAGCAGCAGTGAGGTGCTGCTGGTGCTTTTTGCAAAAGCAAAAGAAAGCACCTCACTTTTTCTCCCCAGAAACCAGGGACAGTCAGTTTAATATGAGCAGGACTTTTTCTGAAAACAAGTGGTTTTGCTCAATTTATTTAGGGGGGGGGGCTTGCCACTAGGCCTTGAACCCTGCGTCAGGGAATTTCTTTTACATTTGTCGATAATGTTAAGAGTCCGTATGAGAAATGGGTTGGGTGCAGCGGGGAGAGAAGTGATAAATATTTCTAGGTAGGGAATTTAAAGAGCACTACCTCCTCACTGCTGCAATACAAAAGCAGTAATTCTGGTTCTGTACCCAATGAAGCTGTCCTGTTACATTCCTGGGCTTCTACCTGCACAATGAAACTTTCTCTCCCTCTTCTCTGCTCCAGAGGGTTGAGGGAAAACCCAGAACAGGTTGGGAGGAACGTGGAGAAAGTCCTGTTGTACCGGCAGAAGTTCTTGTGTTAACGGGGTGACTTTGGTGGATATATATCTCTGAAAATATATCACAGATGTTTAAGGAGTATGACTTAAAAAGGTAAAGGTACCCCTGCCCGTACGGGCCAGTCTTGACAGACTCTAGGGTTGTGCACCCATCTCACTCAAGAGGCCGGGGGCCAGCGCTGTCCGGAGACACTTCCGGGTCACGTGGCCAGCGTGACAAAGCTGCATCTGGCGAGCCAGAGCCGCACACGGAAACGCTGTTTACCTTCCCGCTAGTAAGCGGTCCCTATTTATCTACTTGCACCCGGGGGTGCTTTCGAACTGCTAGGTTGGCAGGCGCTGGGACCGAACAACGGGAGCGCACCCCGCCGCGAGGATTCGAACCGCCGACCTTTCGATCGGCAAGCCCTAGGCGCTGAGGTTTTTACCCACAGCGCCACCCGCGCCCCGCTGGAGTATGACTTAATACACAAATATTATATATAATGTGCAGGACAAGCAGACAGGCTGCCTACTCCATGCACCTGAGGCCCCAAAACAACTTGTGCTGCCGTGTTTTGTTACATGAAGAGTATTTTGGGGTGGGGAGTAATCTATGAAGTGACCTGTCACAGAATTCAGCACAAAACCAGCATTTCATCTTCAGACACAGCCCTAACAGTCCCTTTACTGTCAATTTGGCTGACAAAAGGGGAAGTCCCAACCCTAAAAACACACTTACAAGAATGTAAGTGGCAACGGAACCTTCATTGCATACAAAAGTGCTTGTAACTGTGCACCAGCCTACTAAACATTTTTTTCTAGCAAAATCAGTTTTAAGAGAGTTACTTACAAACTCAGTAGTGGTTCGAGGAATAAGATATGGGTCGTCTTGAAACATGTAGTTAGGAGCTGTGGGATCCTGAATAAAGGAGGATGAAGCGTTTAAATTGTAGCTTTTGCACCGACAAGATCTACACGACAGATTCATCTTCCTACATTGCTGAGGTTAAAAATCGTGTCTAAACATTTTGCTTCAACACACACCAAAAACCTCTGCAATAAGAAAGGACTACTTTTACTATGCATTAACCATACATCCATTACACCAGAGGTTTTCAACCTTTTTGAGTCCACGGCTCCCTTGACCAACAACATTCTTTCTGCGGCACCTCTGTGGGGCTTGGGAGCCCAGTTATGTCACCCCTTGCCTGCAAAACTGGCAGCCTCTCACCCCTTTTTGAACATCCTCTGAAGTGTTCCCTCAGCCTCCTCTCCCCTCTCCTTGCAAGTCCTCTGGGCACCTGCTTCTGCCGCCCCTGGTCTCTGAGCTGCCCCTATGCCCCAAATAAAGGTGCCTCCTCACACTGCCCCACAGGGGCCTGGGAAGCACCCCCTGGCCAGTCCCAGAGGCACCATTCGCCTGCGGAGGTTGTAGCCAGGGCTGCTGCAACAAACAGCTGTGAAAAACCATCATTCAAGGCACCCCAGGGTGCCATAGCACACTGTTTGAAAACCACTGCATTACACTATTTAGGGTGCCTTATTCATCCATAAAAAATGCACCAATGCAGCAAGAAATTTTCCAGTTGGCACTATTCAAGGATTATCCTTGTATGCTGCTCTGTTACTGATTTTTGCAGGAGAGCAGAAAATACAGTGGCACCTCGGGTTAAATATGCTTCAGGTTACATACGCTTCAGGTTACAGACTCCGCTAACCCAGAAATAGTACCTCGGGTTAAGAACTTTGCTTCAGAATGAGAACAGAAATCGTGCTCCGGCAGCGTGGCGGCAGCGGGAGGCCCCATTAGCTAAAGTGGTGCTTCAGGTTAAGAACAGTTTCAGGTTAAGAACGGACCTCCGGAACGAATTAAGTACGTAACCAGATGTACCACTGTATGAGCTCTTGTGTGCTCCAAGCGCATCATTCTAAACTGGTGCAAAAATCCATTTGAGATCACTTTTGCACTCTTGATCTTGAAATTATTTTGTTGGAATAATATGCTTACTTCAGTTTGGATAGAATAATATGCACACATCATGCCCTCTATCAGACAGTAGAATTAAAATCAATATTTGAAAACTTGGCAGCGGGGTGGGGGGAGTGATTTTGCACTGCTGGGAGAGTTTTACATGGGGGGGGACGGGACCAAGCAGTGTATCATTTCAAAAAAGCACTTACCCTCTTTACAGTTGATGCAAGAGCTTGAAGAACTGCTAACTTATCCCTAAATTTAAGAAAATTAAATATTCAGTTTACAGTACATAACTTATGATACTAAAGAGTTTCCACTATGAAGTAGTGAAGCACAGTATCTGTTCTGCATTTCCAGAAGGTGGTGCCTCCTTGGCACCTCCCCCATATTATCTTGCCGCCCCTGCTTTTTAGTATCTATGTCAGGGTTGGGGAATCTTTCTGACTCCACCGGCCATAACCTTTACAGACTCTGCCTTGTGAACCAAATGCAACAGATAGGCATGGCTCTGTGAATCTTCCCCTTCCTCCAATCCCCAATCTCAAGAGGCTTAAAAGAAGAACTGGAGGAGGCTCACAAAACCTTTTCCAAGGCACCTTGTGCTTTCCTTTTTTAGCCTCTGAAATCACAAACTAAAAGCGAGTAGGGGGCAGACATGGGAAAGGTTTCGCAAGTCTCCCTTCCGCTCCCCTTTTAAGACAGTGATGTCAGCTGAAGGGCAGATGGTCATGGTTTGCAGGGGGCAAATGGTCTTGCGGGCCAAATTGGGAACCCCTGGCAGGCCAAGTTGGTCCCCATCCATTTTACAATAGCACACTCTGGTCAGTTACTGAAATAAATCAATTCATTTTACAATAGCTATACTTGTTTCATCTTAACTTCCAATAATAAGCGCTGCTTATTACCTTTGACTCCTTAAATGGTTTGGGAACAGGATACCCAAGAGATTGTCTCCTCCCATACAATTCTCCCAACTTGTTAAGATAGGGATGGGAACCTGTGGCTCTCCAGATATTGAAGGATTGCAACTTCCATCATTTTCTGGCCATGTGGCTGGGGAAAATGGAGCTGGGGTCCAATAGCATCTGAAGATTCCTCATCCCTTCTTTAAATTTCTCAAATAAAGCATTAAACGAAACTACTCACCAGGTTTTCTTTCTTGGAAGAGAAATAATTCCTTCGTCAACTTTGAAAAGAACATTATTACAACTATGTTAGTAAAGGATACGCATATTTGAATAGACTGAAACTATGAAAGCCTTAATTCAGCAAACAATTATTCATATGCATAGCCACTTTAGCTGAAACATTGCCTATAACAAAATCAAACTTTCTACAAATAGCTTTATCCTAATTGCATTTACTCAGATAGAAGTCCAATTTTTTTTAGTGAAGACATTTCCCCACAGAAATAAGCTTTAAATCACACACTTTTCTCAAGGAAGCACAGTAAACTTTTCGCTGTCGCGAAGCGTTGTTTTTATGAGCTCAAAATTAGTGACAAAAATACTTGTACCTTCAAGATTAGGTGATTTTTTCTGAAGGGCTGCATTTCCTGAGCAGGGCCTACGGAAATCAAATGCATCCATGAAACATGGATTTTAAAAGCACACACACAGTCACTAACATTTTTGAACTAGTAGGCACATTTCAAATTTTCAGAGAGTGCTGGAGGTACCAGGCACAAAATGACTATCACGAAGGGTGTGTGGCATAACACAAAACTACAGAGACAACCACCCCGAACCTCATGCTTACTAAGGGAAGTCAGCAATGTCTTGTTGGTCTTTATTATGGAGATGACACTCTCTCTCTCTCTCTCTCTCTAACACACAGAGACACACACAATGATCCTAGAAACAGGGAGCATTCCTCAGCACCCAGAAAAATATACAAGATATATTTTTCCCATTTCACAGAAATCACTGGTAAAGTACCTGCACATTATGCCTCCTTCCCAGGAGGGCTAGAAATTTGGTTCGAAGTTGTTACCGGCATCAATTTTTGTATCGGCAAAAGTGTATTGGATATTGCAGAGTTGGACTATATTAACCTCAGGGCCCCTTCCAACTCTGCAGTTCTATTATTCTAATACAGTGGTACCTCAGGTTAAGTACTTAATTCGTTCTGGAGGTCCGTTCTTAACTTGAAACTGTTCTTAACCTGAAGGACCACTTTAGATAATGGGGCCTTCTGCTGCTGCCGTGCCGCCGGAGCACGATTTCTGTTCTCATCCTGAAGCAAAGTTCTTAACCCGAGGTAATATTTCTGGGTTAGCGGAGTCTGTAACCTGAAGCGTATGTAACCCGAGGTACCACTGTACAAAGAAAGAGACCCCACCACAGAAAATACCCACACCTCTGAAGTTGCAGCAAAGAAATAAAAGATTGTTCAATTGCCCACTTCTTCTGCCCCTTCTCAACCCCAAAGCCCGCTAGATATAGACTCCCCTTTTCCCTGCATCCAGACACTTGGGGTGGGGGTGGCCTTATTATTTCAACATCAGAGCATGTGCCTTGCACGCAGCAAGGTCCTGGGAATGTCAACCCAGGGCACCTCCAGACAGAATCATAGAATCGGAAGGGACCCCAAGGGTCATCTAGTCCAACCCCCTTGTGATACAGGAAACACCAACACACAGTCCTGCACCCAATGTGAAACCACACCGGACCCTGCTCAAGTTTGCAAATACCCTAGCCTAGTAGTAGTTTTATTAATGGGTCACTAGGGGGGCTAAGGGACACGGGTGGTGCTGTGGGTTAAACCACAGAGCCTAGGGCTTGCCGATCGGAAGGTCGGTGGTTCGAATCCCCGCGACGGGGTGAGCTCCCGTTGTTCGGTCCCTGCTCCTGCCAACCTAGCAGTCCGAAAGCACACCAGTGCAAGTAGATAAATAGGTACCACTCCGGCGGGAAGGTAAACAGCGTTTCCGTGCGCTGCTCTGGTTTGCCAGAAGCGGCTTAGTCATGCTGGCCACATGACCCGGAAGCTGTACGCCTGCTCCCTCAGCCAGTAAAGCGAGATGAGCGCCGCAACCCCAGAGTCGGCCACAACTGGACCTAATGGTCAGGGGTCCCTTTACCTTTACGGGGGCCAAGGAGAGACTCCTGCCTGAAACCCTTGGAGAGCCGCTGCCTGTCGGAGTAGTAGGCAACGCTGAGCTGCACGGGGCAGTGGTCCGATTCAGAATAATAAAACAGCTTCCTGCACTCCTATGGGATTGTTGGTTCAAGCCCCACGTTGGACAAAAAGAATCCTGCATCGCGGCGGGTTGGGCTAGATAACCACCAGGGTCCCTTCCGACTCTATGCTTCTGAGACTCTTAACCTCAAGGTCGCAGGTTCGAGCATCACGTTGGGCAACAAGAATCCTGCATCTCCGGGAGATGGGCTAGGTGACCACCAGGGTCCCTTCCGACTCTACGTTTCTGGAGCCTGAGACTCTTAACCCAGGCACCCCCAAACTCGGCCCTCCAGCTGTTTTGAGACTACAACTCCCATCATCCCTAGCTAACAGGACCAGTGATCAGGGATGATGGGAACTGTAGTCCCCAAAACCAGCTGGAAGGCCGAGTTTGGGGGCGCCTGTCTTAACCTCAAGGTGGCGGGTTCGAGCGTCACGTTAGGCAAAAGGATTCCTGCATCGCAGGAGGTTGGGCTAGATGACCACCAGGGCCCCTTCAGACTCTACAATTCTGTGAGGGGTCGCTCCGGCCTCTCCACCCTCCCCGGGCGCTTCGTCCTCGCCGTTGCTAGGGCGGCCTGTCCGTTGCCAAGGAGGCCTGTCCGCCTCCACTTCCACCCCCTGCCCCTTTGCTTCCCGCCTCACCTGGCGCCCCTTCCCGCCCCGAGCCCGGCTGGCCCGCGTGCGGCAGCGGCCTACGGCGCGGAAAGGCCAGCCGCCTCAGGCACCGCGCCGCCATGTCCACGCTGCGCCGCCCTTCGCGGGGCGGAAAGGGAGGAGAGGCCGGGGAGGAAGTGGCGCGTCGCTCCTGCTCCTCCTCCATCTCCTCCTCCCCTCTTCACACGTGCGGCCCTCGCCCTCAGGTTCCTTCCCGTGTCTCTCCTCCTCCTCCTCGCAGGGGCGGCGGGCGGCGACCCCTCTTCCCGGGGCCATGGCGGCGGTGAAGGAGGCGCCGTGGCGGCGGCTGACGGGCCTGTCGTTCGGGATGTACACGGAGGAGGAGATACGGTACGCCCCGCGGCTGGGTAGCAAGACGGTTAAGAGAGTTGGAAAGGGACCCCCGAGGGTCATCTAGGCCAACCCCCTGCGAGGCAGGATACTTTTATTTGCCCAACGTGGGTCTCGAACCTGCGAGGCTGAGATTGAGAGTCAAGGGTGGTAGATGCACACGTGGCTACGCCGTGATCTGAGCCGAAAGGGCGAGAAGTGAGGATTGGAGGGGACACGAGGGTCATCTAATAACAAATAATAAGAATAAATTTTATTTATACTCTGCCCTCCCCAGCCAGATCTACTCCAATCCCCTTGCAATGCAGGAATCGTGTGCCCAACAACATGCCCAACTATAGGGTGCTAGTAGCATACCTACTCTTTTGCGCGGTGCTTTTGGGGACCCTGCTCCTTCTTTGGTTATTCTAGTTTCACTTTGTTGTGCCACTGCAGATGTGCCAGCAGAGCTGTTGGTGCAGATATGGGCATTCTTTGAATGTGTTGTTGTTTAGTCCGCTTAGGTCGTGTCTTCGTGACCCCATGGACCAGAGCACCCAGTACTGGAGGCCTCAGCTTCAGGGATCTGTCCTTTCCAGTGAGCCACTCCAGGGCTGATTTCCCTTCAGAGATGGATAGATTTGATCTTCTTGCAGTCCATGGGACTCTCATGAGTCTCCTCCAGCACCATAATTCAAAAGCATCAATTTTTCGACGATCAGCCTTCTTTATGGTCCAGCTCTCACTTCCATACATCACAACTGGGAAAGCCATAGCTTTAACTATACGGACCTCTCTGCTTTTTAAGATGCTGTCTAGGTTTGTCATTGCTTTTCTCCCAAGAAGCAGGCATCTTTTAATTTCGTGACTGCTGTTACCATCTTGGAATGTAAAGGGACCCCTGACCATTAGGTCCAGTTGTGGCCGACTCTGGGGTTGCGGCGCTCATCTCGCTTTACTGGCCGAGGGAGCCTGTGTACAGCTTCCAGGTCATGTGGCCAGCATGACTAAGCCGCTTCTGGCAAACCAGAGCAGCGCACGGAAATGCCGTTTACCTTCCCGCTGAAGCGGTACCCATTTCCCTACTTGCACTTTGACGTGCTTTTGAACTGCTAGGTTGGCAGGAGAGGGACCGAGCTACGGGAGCTCACCCCGTCGTGGAGATTCGAACCGCCGACCCTCTGATCGGCAAGTCCTAGGCTCTGTGGTTTAACCCACAGTGCCACTCGCGTCCCATCTTTGAATGTAGTGCAAGCCAATTCAGTTGGGGGAAACGTGTACCGTAATTTGTGTACAATACTTCTCAGCTATGGGAGAGGTACCCGTTAAAAAATTTCTCGCCTATACAGTTGTGCTGCCGTTAACAGCATATATATATACATATACATACATATATATATACACGCACGCACACACACACACACACACACACACAGATGTAAAAATGGGCTGTTAAAATTATATTCCCCTGCTCCGTTTACATCTTGGACCACCTAGGTGTCAGAGTTTGTTGCAGCAGCAAACAATAAAATGCTGTGCCGGAAATGTTGAGACAATTTTCCTTTGAGACAATTGAAGAATAGTTCTGTGTCACATATCTTGTTGTGGTCTTCCAGCTGGGAGTGTTCCAGTAAAAAAGGCTACTTGAATGAACAATCTTCTCTGTGGCAAGCAGAATTCCACTAGTGCAATGGGTCTTCTCCTTCCTCTTCTACCCCCGTACCCTCAAAATCGGCTCCATAGAGTTGGGGGACAGCAATGTGTGATACAACCCAAAATCTTTGATAGCCGTTCTTATGGGTAAAAAGGTTTGATACAGGCAAAACTAAGGGATGCGGGTGGCGCTGTGGGTAAAACCTCAGCGCCTAGGACTTGCCGATCGCATGGTCGGCGGTTCGAATCCCTGTGGCGGGGTGCGCTCACGTCGTTCGGTCCCAGCGCCTGCCAACCTAGCAGTTCGAAAGCACCCCCGGGTGCAAGTAGATAAATAGGGACCGCTTACCAGCGGGAAGGTAAACGACGTTCCGTGTGCTGCGCTGGCTCGCCAGATGCAGCATGTCACGCTGGCCATGTGGCCCGGAAGTGTCTGCGGACAGCGCTGGCTCCCGGCCTATAGAGTGAGATGAGCGCACAACCCTAGAGTCTGGCAAGACTGGCCCGTATGGGCAGGGGTACCTTTACCTTTACCTTACAGGCAAAACTAGTACCATTTGCAAAACCAGAAACATGTAGTGAGTTCTCCTCTCTCCTAACTTCACGATTAAAAAAAGTTGTTATCTCATGGAGTTCAGGGAAATGCAATCCAAAAATGGCTTTGATGCTACGTATCTAACTTTGTTTTTGTGTGTAGGAATCTGAGTGTAAAATCTATAACCAACCCCCTTTTTCTGGATAATGCGGGTACTCCGTCACCAAATGGACTGTACGATTTGTCTTTGGGGCCAACTGACAACAAAGAAGTGTGTGCTACTTGCACGCAGGACTTCAACAACTGCCCAGGTCATCTGGGTCACATAGAACTGCCCTCACTGTCTACAATCCTCTCTTTTGATGTAAGTATAATTCATGACATTCCTGATTTCTCATATTCTAGATTCTATGGGATGGGTGGTTGTGCTGCTTCAGGGTTGAAGTTACCGCAGTGTGAAGATAAATGTATGTGTGAGCACTTCACATTGGTTATACCGTATTTTCGCTCCTAAGACACACATTTTCCCCTTCAAAAATTAAGGGTTGCCTTCACTATGCATTAACCATACATCCATTACACCAGAGGTTTTCAACCTTTTTG